TTAAGGATATTTTATTTGATTATGTTTATACTAAAGAAGAAGACACGCTACAATCAGGTCACTTAAATTTGAATTAAATTTTTGTTTGTTTTTTATTTAGACTACTTTATGATTAATTTTTTTGAAAGTTGTTTATTATTTTCGGATTTCAACTTCATTATATTTTAATCTATTTAAATAACTTGTCTAAAATAAGCTTAATTTAGATACCGAAAAAAATTCATTTCTGATTTGTATGAGTTCCGAATTGTCATTTGTATTAATTGTGTTAACTGAAAAAATATTTAAAAGTTCAATTTTGATATTTTTATTTGTACTACGAAAATACGAAAGCCTGTCCTTAATCAAAAATGAAATTTACAAGTGAGTGAATGAGTATAGATCATCTGGGCGACCAGACAATTCGGGTGATCACAAAAAAAAAAAAAAGAATTGGAAATCTTACATAGAATGACGATTCCTCGAAATTCCCTAACACAATATTGTTCAAATACATCATAAATTGTTCAATATATCTTATAGTTGTAACGATCAACTATATTTTATGATGTATTTTCTATTTTAGTTTATTTAAAGGATAAAAGTTTCTTTAAATTTTTTATTTTGTCAAATTTTACATTTTTAGACATTATCCTTTTAGTTTCTGTTTTCTCCTTTTTGTTTTTCATCTTCTTCTGTTTTACTTCTATGGAACCATAACCGATACTTTTTCCTTTATACTAGATGAGATTATGGTCAGAGGATCAAATAAATCAAAAATAAAATACAATATTAAAAGAGTTTTAGTTGCTCTAGTTTTTTTTTTATGGAGCCATAATAAAAAAAGGATATTGAATAATGATAAAAAGTTTAAAAGTTAAGTTTTTTGATTATATTTAGGATCATAACACCTATTATTTTATTTTCTTTTTTTGAACACTGAGTACATGCATAGAATATGAGTTCATTTTCGATTAACACCGAGTGTTAATATTTTTTTGGGTATATTGAATTTTTAGGTTCTATTCGAAATTCAAATTTATTTTAATAACAAATAATTATTATTTTGGGTGAGTTTATTTTAAAATAAATTGGAAAGCAAATAGATTAAACTGCAAATAAAAATTTTCAAATATTAGATCAGAAATTTAAGAAAATATTACGAACTTTTGAAAATTAAAATTAAAATTAAAATTTTCTTTGTTTATATAAAGTCAATGATTGCAGCACGAATAAACTTCTTCTAGTATAATGTCTAGAACCTAGTAGAAGAAATATCCGTAGATATCCCACAGAGAGTTGCACGTGAGTTACCCAAAATTCAGAAAGCTCCGCGCAATCCATTTAGACCTTTTGACAGCCAGAGCTGGACAGTCTTGTCATCTTGTCGTCATCCTTACAGAATCCAAACAAAATGAAGTTCAATTTGCCCAGTTGGTGCAAGTGAATTTTCCTAAGCAGTATTTTTGTAAGTTATTGTCAATTTTTCAACTTGACTATGTTTTTCCCATACAAGATGCATAATTTTTAGTACTCTCTACAGTTCTATTAACTCTAATGATAAAATTCGAAAAATTTACCAATTGTATTTATAATTTTTGATCCCATTTACAACTATTTATTATTTTTAATTTTATTTTTTATTTCTTTTTTGGTTTTTGAAAAATTTTAATGTTTAAAATTAAGTTATTTGTATACAAGATTTACAGAGGCAAGTTTAATACCCAAAAAATGTTTATTGTCTGCAGAAAAACTGAAAAACAAAAAAATATCAAGGAAGATTTTTTTTCTTCTGCCAATATAAATGCTGCATTTCGACTCCATTTTCGTGTCTTCTTTTTTAAATGCTTATTGCTGAATGTAATGTAATGTAAGGGTATGTTGTTATAGATGTTCTTCGCTATAGATAGGTAAGTTGTTTAAGTGTCAGATAATATTCTTATATAAAATTTTTGTCGTCAACTGATTTGCTTTCACTATAAAAGTATTGTGGAAGTGAATTTGAAAATTTTGCTGGATATTTTGCCAGAACATTATTTTTTTTTATTTTTTTGTTTTTTTTTTGTTTTTTTAATATAAAATGTTTATGCAAAAGATATAATAAAGTTGTAGATTGGTTTTATGGCAATAAAAGTATAGAATGTAAAATTGCAGTTCCAAATAATGGTTATCGTTTTCTCAGGAATTTTTTATCATCTTTTAATTGAATTGTGTTCTGAATCGGATTTAATTAGGTCTAGAGAGAGGCTAAATTTATAATTTATATATTAGTAATAGAATTGAGTTTGAATTTCTAGTATTTTGAATTAAATAATTTAATTGATTAAAATGTTTTAGACATATTTGATTATTAGTTCCTATATACTCAACATTCTACTGGATATAGATTCTAATGAACATTGATTTACAAAATTTATTATGGTTATATTATTATTGAGTATTAATTGAGTCATTTAAGCCCTTCTTTATATGCAGGCCCGGTTCTAATTTGTTCGACACCCGATTCGGTTTTCAAAATTTGCATTCCTCTCGTTTTCAGAGCAATGAAATAAGGACCGCAAATATCTCATAACAATTGCATTCAAGTATTCTGGCACTAATTGTAAATTGCTCTTATGTATACTAAAGAGCCACTGGAAAATATCATTTTATCCATACATTTCTGAATGAGCACCTTAAAATAGACTTGGTCAACAATTTCCTTTTAAGTACTATACACAAAAATTTACTTGTCTTTTGGTTTTTCTGCATTTTATTTATGAAATGTCTGTTTTTGTTTGCATACACACACAATATAGATGTGTCTGTCTGGACATATGAATAATTTGGTATTTTTTTCTGTTTTTTGACTTTTATGTTGGGAGTTTTATTCTCATCTATGCAACAATAATTTTTTTTCTTGTTAGCTTTCACTTGTTCTTTCTTTTCATGTTATTCATGAAAAATAGAGGAGTGAGCGAAGGAACATATAAAAAAAAAAATTCCACCTTGTGTTGTATAACTGTGAATAATGGTGATCCTGTACATTATTTTTTTGGAACATTTTAAGTGAGAATTCTTTTTATATTTCTGTTTTTCTTGTTGATATTTTTCGTCTTTTAAAATTTTTGTGTTTTCTTCTTTTTTTTTGGCTATAAGTTTCATTTTTGGTCATTTATCTTATATTAAGGAAAAAATTTTTATTGTGTATATGTGTGTGCAGGTACAGACAAGACAAGGCGACTCTACTTGATTTTTCTTATTTTATTTTGGTTTTCTATGGAATTTTTGCCTTCTTTTCGTTATTGTTTTCAAAACTGGCGTCAAATCTCTAGAAAATAAAAATATTTATCCTTGTTATAATGCTTTTTTTCTGGTGTATGAAAAACACAATTGCAATGTTGAAAAAAAAGGACTTTATTATTATGTTGTAGTGGTTTATGCGTTTGTTAAGTATAGACAAAATGCAAAAAAAAAATTTGGAAATTTTGCAAAAAAAAAAAAAATCATATAAAATTTTATGTCTTCTCTTCGAATACGTAAGTGTACGTACAATAAAAATTTTATGAACGATCAGACGGTCGAAAATTCTATTGGTAAAGTACGTATATGGGAGACCAATGAAATTTGAGTAATAGAAAATGCAAAACAGAATTCGAAATGGCAATTTTCAACAGGCAACAATGCAAAAATTTTTGAATGTTTAAAAAATTTTCAATTACAACTTCCAATTTTATTTAATTTTCTTATTTTTATAGAAAAATAGAAAATTTTAAGATTATTTTTATGCCAAAATTGTAATGGTTGATAATTATTATTATTGTAATATGAAAATATAAATAAAATATTTTCTACTCCTTAAAAGGATTTTAATGAATTTTCATATATAAAATTGTTTGAAAAGAAAAATTTATTGTAATAAAGTACATAAGGTATTTGAACTCAAGAAAAATTTTTTAATGTACAATTCATTATTTATCAGATGAGGAAAAAAAGCGTAGAATATTACAGAGGATTGATGTGCATTCTTAAGAATGTAATATGAAATGTTCATATTAAATTAATATTAAGTGTTTAGGAGGAGCTTTGTCTGATAGAAGGGCAAAAAAAAAAAGAATAATTTGTACTCGGAATTTACTGTTATAACGTCTGATGTCTACTATATTAAATAGCCAAATTATAAATATTTGTCATTGAATAATACCTTGTAATCTGATATGTACAATGTATACATTATTCATTTTTGAATGAATTCTTTTCTTTTCAAATTTAATAAGAATTTCATATGCAATTTAAAAGTCAGATCTTTTGGGAATTGTTCTATATAGTATTAATAAAGTTATTGAAAGAAAATAAGTACTATTTAATTGTGTGGGTGGTATTTAAACGTATAAAACGATTGTATGGTTAAAAGATAATATTAATTAAAGAGACTAAACAGTCTGATATGAAACTAGATTCTATGATGGTATTATTATTATTATTATTAAGGCATGTTTTGTCATTTAATTCTTAATCACTCTATTAGAAGCTGCAAATAAAATATTCTGTCGCTAATTTATTTATTATTTTTGAAGAATTTGTTGAATGAATTAAAATTACATAGAAATACTGCAAAAGACTGAATTTTACACAAACGAGGGCTAAAATATATCAGGCGATTTATTTGATTTTCAAATTTTTTAATTTAATTTTTAATAATTATTGTTATTGAAAACACTAGAGAAATTGAAAATTTATATTTTAAATTGACTAAATTAGTTTCTTGAATTTAGTGTAATTAAATTGGGCTGTTATTGACTCAAATGTATAAAACAAAAACTATAAGAATTAGAAAAATTTATTTAAACTAGTATATTTGGTTTAATATCCAAAAATAAAGTAATTTATTGAATCAAATTCGATAAATTTGTAACCAACTGCAATAATATGACTAAATAACATTAAAGAGGATTCAAAAACTTTTATCAAACAAATTTGCATTATTTTCCTACAACGACAAATATTGTATTTAAAAATTTTTTTTTTTTTTTATTTTATAGCGGCAAGCATCTAATGAAAGTCAATTGGTATTAGATCATGTAAGTTTATCAGCATCTGGTAAATATAGTTGTGAAGTATCAGCAGATGCACCATCATTTCACACATTAATTGGAGCTGGAGAATTAGATGTTGTCGGTAAGTTTCTTAATTTTATACAAGAATATTATACTTAATAAAATTTTATTATACAAAATTTATTTATTACAAAATTCCTCCGAATTCTCAGAAATATCCTAAATCACATTATGTTTTTACTTTATATTTTGTAATTTTTAATGAAAAAAAAAAAATTATAGAATATGCAAAAGGTAAATTTTTTAATTAAGAAATAATGAATGTATGAAAACAAAAATTTTTTTGATAGAAAAACATTTTAACTTTATGTATTCTTTGAGGTCACTACATAAGCTTAACTTGGAAAAAAATGAAAATAGAAAATAGAAAACAGAAAATAAGGACTTTTAAGAGAAGTTTATTTTCACATTATAGAAATAAATCATTAAAAAGTTTTTTAGTTTTTGTATTTTACAATACTCTTAACATATAATTCACCTAGGTTATAAGTACTTGTTAAGTCCATCACATACATAATTTATATGTTTGTATAGTAAAAACATGGTTCTTATATAAAATATAATTAGATTTTATAATATTAAAAAAACAAAATGAATATTCTTGTGTATTACGTTTAAATGGTAATGTCATGTATTTTTAAAATTATTATTATAAGAAGTTTTGTGATTTAGTATTTTAAATTATAAAATTATTATATTGTATAACAAAATATATGATAAACGTATTTTGTAATATGCATAACATACATTATGCATTTTATTATTATTGGCGAGTAAAAACTAACAAGCGCATGAAAGAGTAACACATAAAACTTTTAACAGCATGAGAGAAAAGTAATTCATGGTAAGGAAATGAATTTTTCTGGAACTTTTCAAATTCCCTAGTCACAGTTACATTAATATGACTATCACTAGTGACAGACTAGGGAAATGACAGTGACAGTGACGGTGACAGTCACAGTAACAGTGACAGTGACTGTGACAGTGACAGTTACATTGACAGTGACAGTTACAGTGACAGTGGCAGTGACAGTGAAAGTGACAATGAAAGTGACTGTGATAGTGACAGTGACCGTGACACTTACAGTGACAGTGACAGTGACAGTGACAGTGACAGTGACAGTGACAGTGACAGTGACAGTGACAGTGACAGTGACAGTGACAGTGACAGTGACAGTGACAGTAACAGTGACACTGACAGTGACAGTGACAGTGACAGTGACAGTGACAGTGACAGTGACAGTGACAGTGATAGTGACAGTGACAGTTACAGTGACAGTGACATAGAGTTTTGACAGTAACATTAAATAAAAATAAATTATTTTGCAATATAGTTTGTTGCATTGACAGTAATATAACAAGGATAGTGGAAGTGAGAGTTTCAGTATTAGTAGATATAGAAACAAATTAAATAATATTCAGAGTAGAGGAAATTTATATATTTGCAACGTGTAGTTTATTACAGCGATAGTGCTAATGGAAATGAGAGTGGCAGTAACAGTTTCAGTAACAGTACATTTAAAAACAAATTAAATAATGTTCTGAAACAGAGGAAACTTTTAATGTCGTTTGTTGTAACAAATTAATAAATTTATTTAGTTCCTAATTAGTGGATATGTTTCGATATTTAACCTAGTTTATCAATTAAGGAATTTCATATATCCAAAATGCGCAATACGTAATTATTATACAATTTTCACTTATTCGAGAGGCACATACCAAGTAATTTTTCTCGGAATAATTTTTTGAATTCCCGATAATTTCAATTCGAAATTTTTAAATTTTTTTTGCGTCATTGACTGTTTCATGACATTTAGTTTTTCGAAGATATTTTCATACACAATTATACAAAAAATTTATTATATAATGTACCCGCATAAAAATTTTCCATAGAAATCAGTTGAAATATTCTTTGAAAATAATTAATAAATTAAAATTATTTAAAATTTTTTCTTACAGACTGTAATTTTTGTATTACAAAATCTAAAGAGTATAAGAGACTTTCATTTCTCTATCTGCGGTGTTATTAAATTCGAATTCATATTTTTCATATGTACAACAATAAGGAGACAAATAAAACGCTCCTGAACTAAAATGAAAATGAAAAAGAAAAAAAAACTTGGACATGGGGAAATGTAAAGTTTTTTTCGTAAATTGTGATATTTTTCAAAAAAAAAATAGTTTATGGTACAAAAAAATAGCAAAACGAAAAGAAAATCATAAAAATACTTTAACATTTAATTCTTTTCTCTTTTTATGAATTGTGGTTTTTCTACAAATATTTCTTCTCTTTTTTTTATACACACATAGATTTGTGTTTGCTTTGGGAAAACATGATGATGATTTTCCATGTAATTTTTCTTATTTTTTCATTTACTTTTTTTTTTTTTCAATTTTAAACTTGTAATTTAATATTTTTTACGTACAAAAATATTTTATAGCTCTATAATTTTTTTTTGTTGTCTGTTTGTTGTCTTTCAATGGAGAAAAAAATGCTATTATTTTTAGTGATTTATTTGTCCATTTGCCACAGTTTTGTATTATAAGAATAAATTGAGAAAATAAAATCAACAACAAAGTATTAAACTATTTTGTCTTTAGAGTAAATTTGTCAAGCATTAAATATGGCATAAAAAAAACATAGCTAGAGCTAAGAGCTATTTGTATTTTGTACACAAATATTTTTTGTTCTAATGTAAAGAAAAACAAAATTTTCTAAGTAATTATAATTATATTTGATAATAATGTTTAATTTTAATGATATTTTCAATTATGCTCTGTATATTATAAAAAATAAAAATATTGCATACTTTTAGGGACGATGATGATTTTTTTTCAATTTCTCGTTGTATGTAAGTTCTTCAATTGTTAGTAATATAAATATTATTTTTTAGATTTCTTGAATAATTTTTGATGAAAAAACAGCCTCATAATCTGGAAATTCTTGATTTCTTTATAAATTCACCACAGAGCGTTACTGAATTGGTCAATTATTTTCTGTTGCCTGTATTTTTTTTAATAGATTTAGAGGTAGTTTATTTTATTATAACTTGGTACTCGGGCAAGAAAAATTTCTAATTTTGCATTTTATGCGTATTTTTGGGCATTACCGTTTTATTACGTGTAAACAATTTTTTATTGAAACAATTTCCAATTATACTTCAATTTAAATTCATAAAATTTCAAATATTTCCAGAATATTCTTAAAATCTACACTATGAATGAATGTTACTATGTATATATATTTATTAAATATTTCATATCGTTCAAAAATTTTTTGTATTTACTTCACAACTCTCAACACTGATCCATCAAGAAAATCTTAATTATTCTGCACAAATTATACTCTGTAGTGCTTATCAGTATTGAACTCATTAATAATTTGAGTTAACCTGTTCATTATGAAACATTCATATTAAATCTTCTATATAATATAGAATTCCATTTTTTATTCTCTGTATTTTAAGAATATAATTATAACCTCCAGCTCTTTTAGTGATTCATGAAACAATATGGAAGATATTCGCAAAAAAAAAAAAAAACAAGAGAAAAACAAAAACGATATTTTCTTGAAATAAAAAAAGAACATTTTGTTTTTTACATGCAGGAATATTGTAAAAAAAAAAAATTTTTATTGCAGTATTCAGTAAGGAAAATAAAGTTGACAAATTTCCTATGAAAATCGCACTGAATGCATTGCAATTTCATATTTGAATCATAAAAAAAATGTATACTTGGTTTGTTTCACAGTCGCTTACTTTTTCTGACTTTACCTGCTTCTTTAACAATTTCTAATATTTTTTTTTATTCTCTTTTATTTTTTTTGTATGTATTAATATTTTCTTATTTTTTTTTACGGAGATTCTTTCGTTCCCTTAGCTTGTTTTGTGTTTTTCTTTATTTATTTTTTCCCTGTTTCTATTGCATACCTTTGAATAACTTCATATTTTCCTCGGAAGAATGTTCGAAAGAAAAAACACTAACAATCATAGAAAAAAATTACCTTTTTTTCCAGCGTTTGATTTCTTAACAACTTTTGCACAATTTAACAAGTTTTCGAAAGAAAAGTCTAAAATAAATAAAAGTTTTGAAATTTATAAAACTCTAAATTTTTATTGTCATAAGTTTGTCAAATTGTTGAAATTTACATGAAATGCTATAGAATAATTATGAAAATATTTGGAAACGAGAAAAATTTATGAGACCAAATAAAACCTGCTAAAATAATAAAAAATTTAACATTCCTAAAATGTTGTCTATAATACGGTAATGTGATATTCGGATCCATATCAGTTATGTGATCGTATAAGGAAGTTATATGAGCTTCTGACAAGCTCAATTTGATACATTCTATGTGATACGAGGTCTTATTGAAGGACATTAGAAAAATATACAAAAATTTAATTAAATTCAGTTCATTATACGATCACATTACTGGAATGGATGGCAATATCACAATATTTAGGTATTAAAAAATTTAGTATAATTTGTGTCTCATGAGCTATTCCATCATTCTTGCAAGTGTTTGAATATTGCAGTTGGAATTTTCAAATTTTTTTTATAAAGCCTTGGATATCCTGCACTAAATAAGTGCTTTGAAATTCTCTAAATATGTACAATTAAATGCATGTAATAATTTTATTCTATCAGTTTTAAAATGTCCACAATTTTGTCTCAAGGACTTGTAATATATTTAATTTTATTTTAAAATCCTGAAGAGAATTGCTCAAAATAATAGTCAGAAATGTTAAAATTCAGAAAATTTTTGCAATATTTAAAAAAATGAATGTATTCCAGTACATACATTTGCTTATATTTCATATAAAAATCCTATTTTTCTTGTAGTATCCGCCAACTTACTCATACCATTAATTGCTACTTATCATTTAAAATAAATTTTAAAAAAAATCTTAATATCATGGTTAATCTATCATCTTTTAAAATAATATTGAATCGATTAATTAATTTTCATTTAAAATACACGCACATATCCATTCAAAATAAATTTTTATACAAAAAAAATTATTCCAATGAAATTTAAGTATCCTAGTAAATAGTTTT